TTGAGCAGGTGGTCCACATTATTATTAGTTATGTCTACAGGTTGTATCCTGTGCATTCATTGGTACAGATACTGCATTGCCAAAACAGATATTTTTCAATGTAATTATACCCTTGCATGTTTTATTTTATTCAGTAGCACATCAGTGCTCACCAAGTACTGAATTCTTAATTTCAGCGATACTTCCCAATAAAAGTTATCCAACACTGGGAAACTTATCTTCTCACCCTAGAGTTAAATATGGATCAGTCCAACTCTTCCAAATAAAGGTCACCAGGATTTAAAGCAATATATACATAAAAAGAACAGATCAAAATCCAGTGCAATGTCAGTTGTGTTCTGGCTGATTGAATCCAATAATCCTGTTAAGAAGAATAGATTCCCCTTCCTGCTTCTGCCAAGATTTAACTATTTCAGCCATGTCTCGTAGCATTGCCTACATATCCATCAACAAAGAATAGGTCAACCATACCGCCCTACTGCTTATTTATTAATCATCTGGCAAATAAACCACTCTGTATTGTGCCCAGTGCGGTAATATTTGTGATGTAATTTGTTTGGATGCCCAAATGTCACCAGCGTTGATTGTAAGAGATAAAAAAATGCACTTGCTCAGCACACTCAGCTCTGGGCTAAAATGTAAGCATGAAATCTCTGGTTTATTTTTGTAATAATGTTTACAGCTGCTTAATGACCCTGAAAAGGTTCAGGAGTCTGGTGCTCTGTATTTCTTAACAGGAGTATATTATCACATCATAACAACCTTAGTTAAGCAGTCTCACGGCACAAACAATACGAATCATACGTAACGAAGTTTTGCCATCTATTCTACAAGGTTTCCTCAGTAATACCCATTTGAGAGTTATAGAGGGGGAATGTGGCCATGAACAGCTTTGGATTAGAAATAATTTGCTCTCCCAGAAATAGTCACACTGGCAACATGTAAAGGATGAGCAGTGGGATTCTGCAATTATTCAAAGCATACGGAAATTCAAGTGCCCTTGATCTTCTGTGAGGAAGAACATGGAGTGAAACTGCTATGCCCAAAAGACAGAGCTGATGCTTGGGAAGTGCCCTGCATTTTGCCCCGTGCATGGGTGCCCTTTTGCTCCACTCCCCATGTTTTCATTCTGATTGCACTTTATGTATGTTGCAACTACTTACCAAAGCTGGTCTCCAATTTCTAGTGCAAATCCTTTATAAAGTCTTATTTTTCCCAAAAACGTTTGCCTTGCAGAAACTTTGTTTTAGGGTACATTGCTAGAGATGTCGTACAGAAGAGTCCCTCCATCAAATCTGAGTGTATCTAAAACACATGCATGTAAGAGCATATATAAAGCATCATGTATGCAAAGCCTGTAATTTCATATCCTGTAGTTACTGGAACATAGTTTGAATGGTAGGTGGAAAATCCACTGTAGGACAATTAGATTCCCCTGACAAAGTTCTGATCAAAAGGATGTACCCTTTAGATTCCAAACTGGTGGAAACAGGCCACTGTGAAATCGAAGGCCTCCGACATAATGCAGGCAGAAAAGAGACTGCAGGAATGGAAAATAATGGATGAGGACATAGGGACCCTTTCTTCCTACAATAGTTGGTGTTGCAATGTCTCTCTTGTTTTCATTTGTGAAACACTGAAAGTTATGATATAAACCATTAAATAGATCAATGCATTCTGTATAGCTATTTCAAGGGATACATGTTTTCTGATGTGTACATTAACAAATCTTGAATGCTTCAAGATTCTCCAGTTTCCAGTTTATTTCATTTGCTCTCCATATTGGGTTTGGAGTCTTGTGAACTACAACTCCCAGCATGCCAAAGCCAGCCATAATGACTAGGGCATGCTGGGATTTCAAGGCTTTTTCTGTTCAGATATGCATAGGATTGGACCTGGAGCCTACCTAGGAAATAATCTGGCAGTTGGACAACTACTGCCACCATCACCTGCAACCAAGATGGTGGGCATCATGGTCCACCATCTCTGAATGGGACCATTGCCAGAAAGTTTATTTTAAATATTGAGTTTGGATAGCAAAGCTATTTTAAGGCAGTCCTGGTATTTACATATGCTCAGTAGGTTTCCCCCTTGTTTGTCAGGCCCCTCATATTGCATCATGAACTAATTTGGAACTGCAGCAAAGTCTCCAAATAGCTTGCGAAGTGTGTGTTTCAGAAACAGAAATCCAAAGCTGCCTCTGGATGAGTTTCCTTTGTTTGCTGGATCCTAGCCCAATTTGCTGCTGTATGGAATTTCTGCCCATTCTTTCAGGATATAGTCCGATGGCCATAGAAAGGGGCTCTGAGGTCAGAACTGAGGCTCCACATTCAGGTGACTTTGGAACCGGTGCTGGGGATGTTCCAGGGGTCACAGAGAGGATGAGCAAGGAACTGCCAGGATCCCAGCAGTTCCCTGCTCCCCTTCCTTAAAAGCAGGAATGAGACACACCCATGGCTGTGGCTGCTGCCTACTCGTAAGTGTCTTGGAGAGCAAGGGAAGCACCTTGCTGTTCCTCCCGCTCCCTGCTGGATGCCTGTAACCTCCTGAGTTCAGAGGGTTATGGCACCTATATTGGATGGCATCCTAAAAATATCATTTCCACACTCACCACTGAAGAGTTAAATGCTATGAGCTCGCCACCTCAACAGTCAGGGTTTCTACATCTCAGATCAGTCCAGTTAAATCACCATTCAGCAAGTAAAATAAGGACATCTAGATATTTCTCCCAGAAAACTATATTCTTAGGTGTTATGCACTGCTTTGGGGAGTCATGGTAAACTATGGCTTGTCATGCTGGGAACAAATCACCAATGTGGCTTGTACTTCCCTTCTCCTATTCTCAGATGTGCAGCAGAAGGAGCCTAGGAGCTTCTTGTGCCACTTCCTATATCAGCCAAACCAATTATGGCCACTTTAAACAACCCAGCATCATAACCCATGGTTATGTTTTGTTTTAACCTAACCATACTTAGCCTTAATTCCAGTTTGTTGCTCCAGGTGCCATGGCAAGCCATGGTTGGCTGAAATTGCAAGCAAAGCCTTCTGCAGTCCTCCCAGCTGCTTAGAAAAAAAAGACGATGAAAGGAGTGTGCAAGACTTATACTCTCTATGGCTCATGCCACAGTAAGCCATGGCTTATTGGGATGTTTGAGTACAGCCATTCAGGAAAAGCTGGTGTCAAACCAGAGACCTGTCAAGAAGTGAGCCTCCTATTCCCAAGAAATAAACTATGTGTAAGAAGGGAACATTTAAGACTCTGGAAATTAAAAAAGCCAGATGAAGCCTTCCATAGAGCAGCTCTTCCATTTCTTATGACTTATGGGTGCAATCCTATGCATGCTTACACAGGGAAAAGCCCTACAACTGCTAGCATTCCACAGATACCTGGCTGGCTAGGCAGTTCTTGGAGTTTTCGGATGATGTTGCTCTCTAAACATGCATAAGATTGTGCCCGAAGTGGCCAAAATTGGTGCTAAGGTTTCTTAAACAGGTTTTGCCCCTTAAACGACTGCTTGTAATTATAACAAAGTTTTATGAGTCCTGATCTATATTAAAATTGTGTGTGTGTGTGTGTGTGTGTGTGTGTGTGTGTGAAGGTTTAAGTGTCCTATTCTTTATGAGATAATCTTGTCATTTTTATAGTTCAGAAACATGAAAGAAACTAAGGTAGAAGGATTTCTGTGCGCTTTCATCTAATTATATAACTTTCATTTCTGTGTACATTTTAAAAAGTAACAGTTTGCACATTTTAAAATTGAGACTTTATTGATACATTTTTTCCTTGAATAGACCAGAGCAAAAGACAAGGAGAGAAGATTCTGATTAGGGACAATTATGCTGACCAGGACCGAGCGCTCCTCTTTAACAAACAGCTTTGAGTTCTAATTTTCTGCAGTGCACAGTTTGTAGGTACCATTTGTACTCATTACTGTGTATTGAGAAAGTTATTAAAAATACTTAAACTTGTTGAAGCTTCCTGTGACACCTTCCTTGGCTTTAATTGGGTTTTATAGAGTTCTAGATGAGAGCTCTTTTAAACTTAATCAGAGTTCCTGAGATTCTTTCTTCAACTCAACTGTAAGGAAAAGAGGGTTGGGTGAAACCAAGCAACTTTTTCTAAACAGGAATATCTGTATCATCTGCATGACAAATTAAGGAGGTAATTTACACCTCTCAAGATGGGTACCATTTCCAAATGATGGAGGAACAATTGCTTTGTAACATAAGGGTTAAATCTTAATTTCAGAGGTTTGCAAAGCTGCTAGTTGCAGTCTCCTTAAAATTTAATATACCTCGTTAATGCTTACTTGCAAACACTGAAGGATTTTTATGATTATAATCATGTGTTACAGCACCTAGTACTGTTTCTAAGCCGCATACTAATCAGCTTAATGAGATATTACTGCACTTTTTGTTGACTAAAGCAAAATCCTTTTTATTGTTCGAAAGCTTGTCCTTTACTTTATTTTCCCCCCAAACATTATCTTGTTTTATTGTGTAAAATATCATGCCATCTTCCCCCCACCCACCCCCGTCAAATCATAAAACCATCTTTCTCATTGTAGAATGTGGAATTTATTGAATATGCTTAATGGGACTGAAAGATTTATAAATGGATTTCTATTTTTGTTTTTTTAAAGGGGAAGTGAGCAAGTTGCATAGCATTTCTCCTTTATAGATTACAAAAATGTATACAGGTGCCATTTCACAGGAAGGAAGGGAAAATGAAGTTGAAGGCTTAACACTACTTACTTGGAAGCTGGATATTCACACTGGCAATGTGTTCTTTTTAAAATCCTAACTCATATATGCACTCAAAAGCCTATACATGGTGATGAAGAAGAATTAAGACAAAACATAATCAGAACTGTATGCTATACATTTGATTGATTTTGACTGTAGTGTTTCCATGTGTAATTTCAACACAGACTATTTTTGGTAGGTCCGTTGAGAAAACTGGACTCACTTCAAATCTAAAATTCTTCTTCCTTTTTCAGGGATGGAGGAAGCTAGTTTGTGCCTTGGTGTTTCTTCAGCTGTACCGGAGGCTGATGCCCACCTCAACAGCTCCATACTCAATGGCCAGTATTCAATGAGTCAGAAGCTACATCAGATAACATCCCAGCTCAGCCATGCATTCCCGGAGCTTCAGAACAGGCAAAATCCCGAAGAGAAGTCCTCGCTTCTAGACGACAAGAGCCACGTGTCCTTAGCAAATCAGCCCATCAACAGCCAGATGGCCTTGCTAGCCAATCAGCTTAACCGAGAGGTTGACACCAGCTTGAATGGGAGGGTGGACCTGCAGCAGTTCTTGAATGGACAGAACCTGGGCATCATGTCTCAGATGAGCGATATTGAGGATGATGCCAGGAAGAACAGGAAATATCCGTGCCCCCTGTGTGGGAAGCGTTTTCGCTTCAACAGCATTCTGTCGCTCCACATGCGCACTCACACGGGGGAGAAGCCCTTCAAGTGCCCCTACTGCGATCACAGAGCCGCTCAGAAGGGGAACTTGAAGATTCACCTGCGTACTCACAAGCTTGGGAACCTCGGCAAAGGCCGTGGGAGGGTTCGAGAAGAAAACAGACTCTTGCATGAGCTGGAAGAGAGGGCGATTTTGCGGGACAAGCAGATGAAAAGTAGTCTTCTGCAGCCTAGGCCTGACATCAAGGCACACCCGCATTCTCAGCCGATGCCCCTTGCTAACTGCAATTTGTCTGTGCCGGCGAACCACAGCACCCCTGATATTTCCAACCCGGTGCCCTCCCCGAAGCCTGCCAGCGTGCAGGAAGAGGTGGTAGCCACCGCGGCTGGGTTTCGGTGCACTTTTTGCAAAGGGAAGTTCAAGAAGCGGGAAGAGCTGGATCGGCACATCAGGATCCTTCACAAGCCTTACAAGTGTACTTTGTGTGATTTTGCGGCATCGCAGGAGGAAGAGTTGATCAGTCACGTGGAGAAAGCGCACATAACGGCTGAGTCAGCTCAGGGGCAGGGGTCCAATGGAAACGGAGAGCAGGCTGCCAGTGAGTTTCGGTGCGAAGTGTGTGGCCAGGTCTTCAGCCAAGCTTGGTTCCTGAAAGGACACATGAGGAAGCACAAGGATTCCTTTGAGCACTGCTGCCAAATTTGTGGGAGGCGCTTCAAGGAGCCTTGGTTCCTGAAGAACCACATGAAGGTCCACCTGAACAAACTCTCCGTGAAGAACAAATCTCCCGGTGACTCGGAAGCACACGTGTCCATCTCCAGCATGACGCAGGAAGCACATGCCAACTTGTACTCGAGATATTTGTCCTGCTTGCAAAGTGGCTTCCTCCCTCCTGACAAAGCGGGTTTAAGCGAGCAGAACCAGACCTACAGCAAAGGAGATTTGCCCATGAAAGAGAGAGAAGTCCTGGGCAAGCTGCTGTCCCCCATTGCCGGCATTGGCCACAGTCTTGCTGAAGGGGACAAGCATTCTTTACTGGGCTGCCTCAACCTTGTGCCTCCTCTCAAATCCAGCTGCATAGAAAGGCTGCAGGCTGCAGCCAAGGCTGCCGAAATGGACCCTGTAAACAGCTACCAAGCGTGGCAGCTTATGGCGAGGGGAATGGCCATGGAACATGGCTTTTTGACTAAAGAGCACCAGATACAGCGGGGCCATGAAGACTCTTTGGCAAATGCTGGCGTTCTGTTTGATAAGGAGAAGCGGGAGTATGTGTTACTAGGAGCAGATGGCTCCAAGCAGAAAATGCCTGCTGATTTGGTTCACAGCACTAAAATGGGCAATCAGAGAGACTTGTCAAACAAACTAGACCCTTTGGAAGGCAGTCGAGATTTTCTATCTCACGGGATGAACCAAGGGCTTGATTATAACATGCAGAGTCATGGCAACACGAAAGAGAAGCCAACTGAATGTCCCGACTGCGGTCGGGTATTTAGAACATACCACCAAGTTGTTGTTCATTCTAGAGTTCACAAGAGAGACAGGAAGGCAGAAGATGAGATCATTCAGGGCAGCCTTGAAGAACGCCGTGGGTCTGGGAGTGATCAGGAATCTCAGTCCATCAGCAGGTCGACAACGCCAGGGTCCTCCAATATTACGGAAGAAAGCGGAATGGGTGGAGGCCTGTCGCAGACAGGAAGTGCCCAGGAAGACAGTCCGCACCCGTCCTCACCTTCTTCCTCAGGTATGCCAAGTTTGCCTTCCTTCCGCTAGAATGTCCCATATAATTCTTCCAATCTGGCTGATGCTAACAACATAGCAATGCTTCCCATTCAGTGTCCAAAAACATGCCATTTTTAGTGAATGCAAATTTTATTGTTGGCATTCAACTTTGTAATGTTTTTATATATCTAAATTCTACTTCTCAGTTTTCTGTTTAGTACATGCTTTAGCCTTTCCACATATAAGGATACTGAAAAATCATGCCTGGTTTCAGGAAATAGAAAATGTATGGGAAAGAGACTTTTCTTGGTTCTGTTTTCACATCTGCTTTTCAAATTCTTTCTTCTTTTTTTCTTTTTTTGCAGACCCTCACTTCCAAGTGGAAGTGAGAGAGGAACTGCATGGAACCTTTGCTTGAACAGGTTTAAATGAATTCGTGAACTGTCTGTATTATACATGTGTTGCACACTGCACATTAGTAGTGGAATTTCATGTATCTACAATATATCCCTCTCCCAAGCTGTTGCAATGATCATGTGAAAATGGTTGCATGCTAACATGCTAATGTGGACAGAGCAATGTAGAGGTGCTCAAGTTGCAGATATGTTTTACCTCTCAGTTTATCCTCTCTGGAATATTTTCTTAATGACATGGGAAAAGGGTATGTGTTGGCACCCAGTTCATTAATGTGGCTAGTTGCGGTGTATATTTAAGTCCACGGATGCATGGGTCCAGAGCTTATGGGGTGACCCCAGTGATGTTCCGTGTCCCTGTAAAAGAGGCTGCACTCGCCTGAGCTTAAAACCTCAAGAAAGCTAGGAAGTGGAATTACTTTAAACAAAATATTCCATTGGTTGAATGTTAACCTGATGTGTTCAAAAGAGCAGAGCAAAATAATATTTCATTGCAGCTATCTACAATATTGAGTTTTCTTGGCACTTAAAAAAAAGAAAGAAAGGTAAGATTTCTGGCCTCATCTCTCATTTCTAGACTCTCGAACTAATGGATAGTAAATTGAAAGTTATATCTTCAGCCCTTTTATAACAAAAGCACCTCGCTAATATTGTAATCATTCTGCAGGCCTAACAACAGAGGAAATCATGCCATAACAAATACTCTGTTACTAATGGCAACATTGATTTCTGCAATCAGCCATTAAGTCTAGAAAATGAAAGACAGTTTGAGAGACCTCAAGGCATTACATTGCCCACTGTTAAAGATCTGGTAGCAGGCTGTTGAAGGTAATTCTTTTTAGCCTCACCCCCTCCCTTAGTTTCGATAAATATTTTAGTATTGAAGGCAAACCACTGTTACAGTTATTAAGTAGATGCCAGTTTATTTTTGTTGTTCTTGTCATGCTCCCGTATCCTCCATTTCTAAGGGCAGATTAATACAAAAGAAAGTGTTCGTTTGGGGGTGGTTATTATAAACCCGTACAGAAAACTCTTAAGGCACATAAATCTGCCCTCTGCGTTCCGCAGATTCCTATAGTGCTTAACGCTGTTGTTTAAATACCCATGAAACACATGGGCTACTTTTTGAACTGTAGCCTCATTTACAATTTATTAGCAGTGAAACACATATGAAAACCCTGTGTAGGCATAAGGGGAAAATGGGGAGAGCTCATTTATATTATGATGCTGTTTGGATTGTTTTTAAAGGATTGGAAATACAGCAAAATAGCATCAAGATTTTCTGTTTTTCACAAGCTGGGCCTGTCAACTTTCTGACTGTGAAAAGATGCGGAGGCTTTCCCCCCAGAATAGTCATTGCTTCCAAAAGAAATCCAACATGTTTGCGGCATGTGCTTTAGAATAAGCAGCTGAGAAGCATTACATGGTGGTTTTTAATGCCGCTGTCACTTCCCATGTGAAGGGCTCAGGGTGATGCTTTTGATGGCTTGCACAGAATTGGAACTATGCTTAGCTGTGCTTGTCCCTGCAACTTGTCTGGACTCTTAGACATCCCAGACTGATAAATCCACTTGCAATGTAAAATCTCAAGAACTGCCTTTAAAGGGTGTATCATGGACGAGCAACCTCCTGCTCCATGGGCAGAAAGCGCAATGAGCAAAGCAGCCTGACCAACTTCCTTTCTGCCCTTTTCTTCCTGTGGCTTTTCTGTGACCAGCAGGTGGAAGTATTTATTTCTCTGACTGGCTCCACCAAACCATCCTCAAACTTTCTGGTACCTAGTTTAGGAAGAGTGGAGGCTGGCCAATAGATGTTGGATGGGTAACCCCTCTGCCCAAGGGCAAAATATACCTACCTGCCCCCTCAGATCAGTTCAAGAGACCCTTCTGCGAGGGCCCCCCCGAGGGAGGTGGGAGGGGTGGCAACTAGAAGAAGGACCTTTTCTGCTGTTGCTGCCCATCTCTGGAACTCTCTCCCTAGGGAAATTCACCTGGCGCCGTCTCTATTTTCTTTTCGACACCAGGACAAGACATACCTTTAAATTTTTTATATTTAGCCCTTATGAATGCTGTGATTTTTTATATTGTTACTGTACTGTTACTGTATTGTTTTGTAATTTTTAAGTGTTTTAATAGGTTTTAATGTATTGTTACGTGTATGTATATGTATGATATGTTGTAAGCTGGCTAGGAGGCCTTTTGGTAGTTAAAGATGGCTTATAAATATGTGAATAAATAAGTAAATAAAATAGAGACCACAAGGATGAAGGTGCAAAGTTAATGGGAAAGAGATTTTAAAATCTTGATAAATAAACCCATGCACAAGGCAGACCAGAAGAGCAACACAGGAATAAGCCCCTCTGGTTAACTTAATTAGGCCGTGCTCCTATTTTATCAAGGTCCCTCATCCAAGCAATGTCTTAGTGTTGCTGGTACAGCTCTCTCAACTATCCCTGTCCCTGACTCAGGGCTTCCTTCTGTCCTTCCATCCTTCCTTTTCTGTCTTTTGCTCTTTCTTCTGCTTCTTTGCCTTTCTGTGTTAGGCTGTTATCCTTTAATTTTTTTTTCTTTTCCCCCATTTTAACTCTAAATAAGGAAGATAGTTTCTTGTTCATTTTTTAACTAAACTTCTGTTTCCTGAGTTGAAACTTTTCCTCTTCCTCTCTTCCTCTGACCTTCTATTGAACTTTTAATTCCAAAAGACTTGAAATGCAGCTTCCTGACTTCCCCATTCTATGCTTTAACTCAAAACAGCTAACCTTTTGGCTGAAACTGACATACACACACCCAGCCTCATGATTTAACTCCATAATTAAATGCAAAACTGGAGGACATGTATGGATGTGTGTTAAAAACCATCCATTCCTGATTCCTTTTGGCCCCTCTGGTTTCCTATGAACAGTAAATTAGAATATCCATTTCCACCAATCAATTTATCAATTGACGACACAAAGCCATGCCAGTCCCTCTTCCTTTGCCCCTGTTTTGGATTCTTGTGCTCAATGCAGTGCTACGTTTATGGCTGAAGATGCAGAGAGGGCTATGAAAGCCTGGAAAAACCCTAGAATAATTAGTAGGATGCAGGGAAAAACTGGGAAAAAATCAAGCAAACTGTATCTCAAGGGACTTTTGGAAAATCAGTGTATCTCTGATTCCCCCCCCCCCATTTTTTCACTGAGTTTGCCCTCCTTCCCCTGAGCTTCACATCTTTGTCACTGGTCAGCTATATTAACTTCCCACTGCCCCATGAACCAAATTTTTCCAGTATAAAGCTGAAAGTCCTAAGTATATGTGAAAACAATATTTTAATCTTTCTTGATTTCAGGAAACATTATAGTGTCTTACACTGTGGGCTGTCCTAACTTTCAAAGTGTCCACTGTGTTTTTTAACTTTAATTCATTTCAGTAATTTATTGTTTATAGAAAGAGAAGTCCCTTTATCTTAAACTTGCTAACTTATTTACTGAATTCAGTTTTTAATCATGCAGGCTGGATGAATAATTTCAAAATGTTTTCTTCGTTATTGAGAAATTTATTATCTACATGAAGAGCCATGTTGTTGGTATGAAGTACCAAATATTAGAATGTAACTTTTTAGATGAAGTGTATTAATTTAACCTTCCCTGGCCCCTGTACAGTTTCAAAAGAAACAGAATTAAATTATTGCATAATTATTATTACTTGTGGAAGAAGAACCTGCAGCATACTGAGGTGGTCTGTGATTCATAAAGTTAAAGGAAAATGTTGAGACTTCCATTAAGAAATTACTACAAAACACTGTTTAACCAATTTCTAAGCCTGTATAACAATGTCCCAGAACTTAATTTGCATCACTTGATTCTTTTCTTGTTGCAAACTGGGTCAGTAGGGCCTGAGAAAGTATTTTTTTCAGATCTTAACCAATGAATTCTTTTTTTATATAAATTGGTGCTCTTAACATGATAGTAGTTCTGAATTCATCATAAAAAAACCTTTTATACACAGTGCCTCTTAGAACAGATCTCTAGAAGAAGGCTTACAATGAGTGGCAGAGAAGTCTTTGTTATCTGATGTAATTCTTTGCAAAGGAGGATTGGGAACGGAGTGGCTGGGTTTCTTTTTTTTTAATGTCTAGTTCAGGCTGAGAAGAAGAAAGGGTCAAGTTTGCAATCAAACAGTTATTGCAAAGATGTGTGACTGTCACTGGCTGGGCTAATGTGGTATGCAGCTGTTTGTTATGTGACTAAAAGAATGTTTGAATCAGTGAACATGTGAAAATGACTCCAGTGAACCAGAAAATGTGTTTGTTCTTTGGCTCTCCAAACTGCTGAGAACTAAGCTGAAGATCAACTGCTAAAACTCAGGCCTTTTGACAAATGGAGAGGTCATATTTTCGAACAGAAAATGGACAAAACTGGTCACACAGATCACTGATCTTTGTTTTTATCAGTTTTTGCTGTAGTTCCCTGCTAACAATGCAAAGGGAAACTGATAGATAGTGTGGGCAACAGGTGACCCTTGCGCTGTCTTGCTGATCCTAACCTCATTGCTTAGGAGTAAGTCCCACTAATTTAGGCTTGTGCTCATTTCTCTTCCACTGAAACTAATGACATTTTAAAAGTGCTTAACTT